AGACTAATTCTTCCTGATACAGTGACTCTGTGTATTCCTTCCATCTCCTTTTGATGTTTCCTGCATCAGCCAATAGTTTGCCCACAGAATCTTTCAATACTGCAACTCTAGCCTTGAATTCTTTCAGCTTGAGAAATGACAAGCATGTTCTTCCCTTTTGGTTTTCAAACTCCAGGTGTTTGCATACTTCATTATAATAACTGACTTTGTCTTCTCCAGCTGCTCTTTGAAATATTCTATTCAGTGCTTTTATCTATGTCATTTCTTCCATTTGCTTTAGCTATTCTTCACTCACAGGCAATTTCAAAGTCTTTTCTGACATCCATTATGGTCTTTTCTTCCTTTCCTGTCTTTTAAATGACCTTTTGCTCTCTTCATGGATGATGTTCTTGATGTCATCCAACAATTCCTCTGGTTTTTGGTCACTGGTGTTCAATGCATCAAATCTATTCTTCAGATGGCCTCTAAATTCAGAAGGGATATAATGAAGGTCATATTTTGGCTCTCGTAGGCTTGTTTTTAATTGTCTTCAGCTTCAGCTTGAACCTACACATGAACAGTTGATGGTCTGTTCCAATGTCAGCTCCTGACCTTGTTTTGGCCTTCTCCATCACCTCTTGCCACAGATGTAGTCAATCTGATTCCTGTGTACTCCATGAGGTGAAGTCCCTGTGTATAGGTGCCATTTATGTTTCTGAAAAAAGGTATTTGCAATAAATAAGTCAATGGCCTACCAAAATTCTATCATGTGATCTCCAGCATCATTTCTATCACCAAGGCCATAATTCCCAACTACCAGTGATTATTCTTTGTTTCCAACTTTTGCATTCCAATCACCAGTGAAAATCAACACATCTTGATTACATGTTTGCTTAATTTCAGACTGCAAAAGTTGGTAAAAATCTTCAATTTCCTCATATTTGGCTTTGGTGGTTTGTGCGTAAATCTGAGTAATAGTATTATTAATTGGTCTTCCGTGTAGGCATATGGATATTATTCTATCACTGAAAGCACTGTACTTCAGGACAGATCTTGAAACATTCTTTATGACGATGAATGCCATACCATTCCTCTTCAATTTGTTATTCCCGGCATAGTAGAGCATACAGTTATCTGATTCAAAATGGCCCAAACCAGTCCATTTCAGCTCACTAATGCCTAGGATATTGATCTTCATTTCATTTCTGACAACTTCCAATTTTTCTAGATTTATACTTAGTATATTCCATGTTCTGATTATTAATGGATTCTGTTTCTCATTTTGAGTCATGCCACATCAGCAAATGGAGGTCCCAAAAGCATTACTCCATCCACATCATTAAGTTCAACTCTACTCTGAGGATGCAGCACTTCCCCAGTCGTATTTTGAGTGCCTTCTGACCTGAAGGGCTCATCTTCCAACACTGTATTGGACAGTGAGGGTCACTCATAAAGTTTTCCAATAATATATCAGACAGTGTTTCACTGCTATTCATAAGATTTTCACTGGCCAATTCTTTGAGAAGTGGATGGTCCCCTCCTTCTTCCGAGTCTGTCTTAGTCTGGAAGCTCCGCTGAAACTGTCCACCATGGGTGACTCTGATGGTATTTTGAAACAGCAGTGGCAAAGCCTCCAGCCTCACAGCAGCACGCAAGCCACCACAGTATGACAAACTGATAGATGAATGGTGGCGTTATGACGTACATACCTTCAGATGAGGAAACAGGGGCACAGAGAGGTTAAGAAAGTTGCCCGAGTTCATTACCCAAGTTGTAGAGCCCATGTTCCACTAGACTACCACCTAATGAAAAAAAAAATCCAGAGACACAGAAACTACCATTCTGTAAAGATGACCATTTTTTTCCTTTTAATTCTATTTAATAAACGTTCAAGGTCTGCTTCGTGCAATGCATCATGCAAGGCAGTGGGTGATACAGAGAGAAGCAGATTAAATCACCATACTCAAAAGCTGACGCAAGCCCTTCTAAACAACAGCAACCAAATGATGAGGGAAGACTACTGCAAGAACATCTTCTGAGACAGCTTTCATTGCAACGTTCTGAGGTAAAGGTGACACCCAAGGGCAGAGTACCAGCAATGAGGCTATCAACAACAAGGCAAGGAGGAAAGGGGAAAAGGAAGACCAAGGAAGGAGAAGGAAAAGTGATGGATAAAGCCAGTGAGGATGTGCTACTCAGACAAACCATCTACAAGGTTTGTCTTTGATGTAGTTGTAAAAAACCATACCTTAAAACTTGCCCTCAAAATGCTTTTTGATTTCTCCAATGCCCTGTTCTCAGCACATTTTCCCAGTTGCTTTAAATTCAACAGCTGATAGCTGAGAAATTGCAGCCTATTTCTAAATTCTAAGACTCTGGGTCTACCAAACAAGATACTGCTCCCCAATCCTGTATTTACTACATTGGTTGTACCAGCCCAAGAAAGCTCATTTCATCAGGAGCCAGATAGGGAGTGTCACTCTAGTTTACTCTCCAACTGAGTAAAACCTAGATTACTGGGAAGGATGGAGAGGATAACCTGAGCTAAGTTGATTCCAGCTTGCTTTTCATCTCCTTACAAAGAAGCAAACACAAAGGAACATAAATGATGGTAAAAATATACTTTATATTATATAGTTTAAGACCTAAAGAAGGTAGTAAAAATGAGAAAAAGTATGTTATCATGTTGTTAATATTGTATTTCTTTGCTCTTTATCTTTAATATTTATGCTAAACAGTAAGAACATTGGCACTGAGGTGGTTGTTATTGTTGTTATGTGCTGTCGAGTCGAAGCCAACTCACAGCAACTGCTCCTTGGGTTTCCAAGGTGGTATCACTAGGGAAGTAGGTTGCCCAACCTTCCTGCCGAGGAGTGGCTGGAACTAGAAACTCATACCAGTGTCATTTTTCTATCATACCTTTTAAAATACAGGAAAGCAAATAAGGTGAATGGTGGGGGGGAAAAATAACATCTAAACACTAATTACAATCCACTGGATTGAAATCTATGTCAGTGGGTAGAATTAGCACAGTGAAAGGATTTTAGAAAGCCTGCTTTGTCAGGCAGAGGGTAAAATAGCTCTGACTTGTAAACTATTTCAGACAAAACAGAAATTTAAAAAACAATTTTTTTTTTTTAAATCTACACAGTTTCCAATCATTAGAGATCTTCTGAGTGGTAGAAGTTTAGTCTGATTTAAATTTTTCCTAATCTAATAGTCCTCACACCTATGTGGAAAAAGAAGGAAAAAAAAAAAAGAAAATTTACCTAGGAGAAAAAACAGGAATGACCTAATGAAGACTTGACACAAAGATTAAGCCTTTTAAAGGTTTAATCAAATCACCCAACCTAAAACTGAACCTGTGGCCGTAGAGTCAATTATGACTCATAGTTAGCTACCTTACAGGACAGAGCAGAACTGCCCTACAGGATTTCCAAGGCAGTAATCTTTATGGAAGCAGACTGTCACATCTTTTTTCTGTGGAGCAAACCACCAACTTTTCGGTTAGCAGTCAAACACTTAAAACACGGCACCAGGACTCTTTGTCAAATCACCCACATGTGACAATTTTTTTTTCCTTTGCACTATTCTATTGGTCTTTAATGGGTAGAGGGAACCCTGGTGGTGCAGTGCCTAAAGTGTTCACCTGTAAACCAAAAGGTCAGTGATTTGAACCCACCAGCTGCTCCACAGGAGAAAGATGAGCCAGTCTTCTTCCATAAAGATTACAGTCCTGAAAGAATTAGTCCATAAGATTAACAAACCATACAAACCACACCTCTACTACCCTGAGACCAAAAGAACTAGATAGTGCCTGGCTACCACTACCAACTGCTCTAACAGGGACCACAGAAAGTCTGGGACAGAATGGGAGAAACATGTAGAACAAAATTCAAAATCATAAAAAAGATTAGACTTACTGGTCTGATAGAGGCTGGTAGAATCCATTAGACTGTGGCCCTTAGACACCCTTCAAACCTGGAACTGACCCCACCCCTGGGGATCACCAAACAACAGGCAGGCTTATAAAGTGACTAATAAGACTCGGGAAGAAGGTACTTCTCAGAATAATTAACTCTATGAGACCAAAAGGGCAGCATCTGCCCAAAAACAAAGCTCAGAAGGCAAGAAAGAAAGATAATGGAAACCAGGAACACAGGGAAAAAGTAGGGAGATGACTGCTGTTACGTTGAACTACAACTAATGATAGGAAACAAAATGTGCATAAATTGTTGAATGGGGGGAAAAAAAGATTACAGCCTTGGAAACTCTGTGGGGTAATTCCACTCTGTCGAACAGAGTCACTTTGAGTCAGAATCAACTCAACAGCAGCAGGGTGGTTTTTTGGTTTGTTTTTTATTTTTTTATGATGAGTGAAGGAAAAGGTGGCATGTTCACCTTTAAACCATAATGGAATGAATTTAAGTTTAAAATGAGACGGCCAAACGCTTCCAGTAACTGAGAGCCAATCCTTCGTAGTAATCCTTCCTTTCAATCTGTTTTATCTGGAAGTCTGAAGCAATTTTACTAGAGCAGACCACTTAGCATGCTGGAGAATTTACATCATATACAAACTCCTTACTACCTAGAAAGATCAGGCTAACTTGGCTGTAAGTTGTAGAGAGCTTTGGCCAGTGGTTTGATACCCTGGAGATACATAAGTGAGGTCTTTAGGGGTATATATATTAATGCTTGTAACAAGCAGAGAGACCTCACCACTGGACCCTAGAGCAGGAAAGGAACAGCAAAGAGAGTCCTAAGCAGAAGATAGCACCAACAGCTAAGGAATAAAGAAAACACCACATAGTAATCCCAATGTAGGTCAGACAGAATGCAGATTCAATGACATATATGAAAAGTTTACATAACCCCAAGAAAGCCGCATAACCTTCAAAAGCTCTGCAATGTCAGTGCAAAATCCTATATAGTACAGTAATATAGTCTTATAGTATAGCAGAGTACACCCATCAAAAGCAGACATGGGGTCCAGGAAAACACCATGAGGAGCTTAAACTTACCTATAAAGATACATGAAGAAGCAGAGCAAGTGAAAACCAAGTTTGATCATGGCTTCTTTCATGTGTGACTTCAGCTGTCCTCGATTGTGTATTTCTGTTGGATCAAACACTCCCATGTTACCACTTGGCACCATAATGAACCTGGGAAATGAAAAGATACAAACATATTAGAATGGAAATCAAATCATCAGCATAAATATTCAAAAATAAATAAGCAGTGATAACCAATCATAGCAATCTTCAATCCAGACCAATTATGGACAGAATAATATGGTAATATCATAAGCTACCTCTTAGTTTCCCTTTGGAAGATACAATACTGTTCATTTTTAGCATAATTTTTTGTTCTTTCAAACAAATAGAGTAATACCCTAGAGAAAGGTATTTTACACATTGAGTCCCTTTTTTCCATCCTCTGTAGGAGGAGCTCTGGTGACATAGTGCCTAAGGCATTTAACTGCTAACCAGAAGGCTGGCAGTTCAAACCCACCAGCCACTCCTTGGAAGGAAGTGCAGGCAATCTACTTCCATAGTGATAACGCCTCAGAAACCCAAGGAGGGGTCGCTATGAGTCGGATCCGACTCGACGGCAGTGAGTTTGGTTTTGGCTTGGTAGGAAACTAGGAGCTCTGGTGGTGCTGCAGTTAAAGCATTCAGCGGCTAACCAAAAGGTTGGCAGTATGAACCCTCTAGCCACTCGATGGGACAAAGATATGGCAGTCTGTTTCCAAGAGGATTTGTAGCCTTGGAAATCCTATGGGGCAGTTGTACTCTGTCCTATAGGGTTGCTATGAGTTGGAAATGACTCAATGGCAGTGGGTTTTTGGTAGGAAACTACTTAATAGGTCACACCTGCAGGCCTTTTCCAATAGATACAGGTGAATGGAGGCTCCAAAACCAAACCAACTTTATCAAATTTCTCAAAACTTCTTGTGATAGCTGGAGCTGTGTGTCAACTTGGCTGGACCACAATTCTGTGTGGTTTAAGCTGTTCTGATGTGGTTATTCCCATGATGGGATCAGATGATTATGTTCTGAACAGCCAATCTGTTGAAAGGGAGTTTCCCTGGGGGTGTGGCCTGCTTCCAGTATATCTATGGACATCCTGGGAAAAGAAACATTCCTCTTTGGATCGGGATCCTGTTGTGCTGCCTACAACTGTCCGTGAGCGAACAATCTACCATTCAGCCTGGAGATCCCGGATTCGTCATTCGTTGGAGTCAACAGCTGGTGTACTGCCTGCCAACCTTGAGCTCTTCAGCCCCTGCAGCTGCAAGAGTCGGGAAAAACCTCCAGCATGACATTTGATCCAAGAACTTTGGACTTGCCAGCTTCTATAAGTGTGTGAGCCATTTTCCTAAGATAACTCAATCTCTCTCTTTCTATATATATATATAAGCTTTACTGGTTTTGTTTCTCTAGAGAACCCAGTCTAACACACTTCTTTATCTTAAAAGTTCTAAATTAATGAATGTGATTCCCCCTTTCACCTTTACAATATCCCTATGAGGAAGGTAGTGTCACAAAATTATTCCTATTTCACAGACAACAATAAAAAATGAGAGATCTTATGTTCAGAACAGAAATCATCATGCTTGGGTGCTGCTGATCAACACATAATATGCCTTAATCTTCATGGTTTACAAATAGCACCTACCTTAAAATAGCAATTTAGAGAAGGCAGAACAGAAATTACTTAGAATACGTGTCACGACAGTAAAATAAAACTCCACCTCAAGTAAGACACTCAAAGAATAAAATCTAACTTTGGATAACTCTTAAAAAAATACAGATTAAGTGTAAAATATTAGAACATAATTAGAGCACATAGGACATGAGTTCTGTTTTGTTAAATAGTGGTGGAGGTCTGGCCACAAGTGAAGGAACAGGAATAAGGGTCCAGATGAGCACAGATAATCAGGAGTACTAATAATCATAAGCCTAATTCCAAACCCAAACCTATTAAACTCAGTTTTCTACCAAAACAGACTCAAATTTTAACAATCTAGAAGACAGTATTTTTGACATAATATGGAGTCTTTTGCACTCTTTAGCAAACCTAACATTCATCATCTACTTATTTAATAGAAGATTGGTGGTTCAAACCCACCAGTCACTTCATGGAAAGAAGACTGGGCAATCCTACTTCCGTAAAGATTTACAGCCTCAGAAACCCAACGCGGGTCTCTATGAGTTGGAATCAACTTGAGGGCAGCAGTTTTTTTTTTGGTTTGGTGGTACAGTAAACACGATAGTCTTCTCCTTCCCAAAACAATTCCTCTGGCGTGACACATCTGACTGCGAACCAGATGGCTGATGGTTCAATCCCACCAGTCACTCCGGGGAAGGAAGATGGGACAATCTACTTCCGTAAAGATTTACCACCTTGGAACTCCAATGGGGGTTGCTATGATTCAGAATCAAATGCATAGCACTGGGTCTTTGGAAGAAGATTAATGAGTTTAAGAAGCTGAACTTTGATACCCACACTACTTCATTCGTGTGACAGGTCCTGCCAATTGTACAGCAGACTTGTTCTAACCTACATCTCTTCCAGCTTTCATACTCATTCCTAAGCTTCTAAGCTTCTAGTGCAATCTTGGGTTCCTCTTGTTACACACTCCAGTTTTTTAATTATCACTTCTGCGAAATAAAATTGCCTGAGTTCTACAAACACAAAAATCTTACCCTTTCTCCCAAATCTTAATTGCTCATCTGTGGTTGCTGAATTGAGGGTATTTCCATATGAATATCCAGGTAACATACCACTTCAAACAGTCTCAAGGAGGCTTACTGTTCTCCACTTCTAGGTTATCTAATAAGAGTGCTACCATTTTCTTGGTGAGCCTGAAAAACTTCCTCTTAAAAACTTCTAATTTCTCCCATCCTCACTCTTTACAGCTAGCTCATCAAAATTCTTGTCCATTCTTCCTTCCTATTATCCCTTATATAGCTATTTCTTTTCCATTTCCACTATCACAACCCTGTTTCAACACTACATTATTTTTTACCCCATTCTCCTAACTGGTTTCCCACCTCCTCAGAAAATCCATCCAATCAATACCATACAATGCTTCCAGAAAAATCTTCCCAAAGCATAATTTATTTCATGTCAAATTAACTGCTCTAAAATATACAGGGGAGCTCTGGTAGTGTAGGGCCTAAGGCATGTGACTGCTAACCAGAAGGCTGGGGGTTCAAACCCACCAGCCACTCCTCAGAACATACACAGAAAAGATTTATGAATGGCTAGTAAGCACATGAAGAGGTATCATGAGCCATCAGGGAAATGCAAATTGAAACCACAATGACATACTTTATATCCCCTAAACCAAAAACCCAATGCCACACAGATGACCCTGAGTGTGTAGAGTAGAACTGAACTCCAAAAGATTTGTAAAGCTGTGACCTTTCGGAAGCAGACTGCCAGGACTTTCTTCTGTGGCACCTCAGCACTTAAACATTTGTATCACCCAGGGACAATTCAAATGGACCAGTCCTTTTTCTATCTTCCTTTTTCACTGTCCACCTCTCAAAGGGGGATGAGAAGACTGAAAAGACCATAGCATCTTAGTCATCAGTGACATTTTTACTTTTTAGACCTCTGGAAAGGTCTTTTGCAACAGATCTTCCCAATGCAATATGCATTTGACTTTTTGACTGCTGCTTCCATGGATGCTGATTGTTTATCAAAGTAGAATGAAAGCACTGACAACTTTAGTTTTTTTCTCCATTTATCATGACACTATTTGTCAGTACAGCAAGAATTATGAGGCTATAAGCAGCCAACAAACATATGAAGAAATGCTCACCATCATTAGCTATTAGAGAGATGCAAATCAAAACAACAATGAGATACCATCTTGCTCCAGCACTAGTAGCAAAGTTCAACAAGACACAAAATAACAA